GTCCGACTTTTTTTTCGGTCTCTTTTTTTTTTTTTTTTTTTTTGGGTTCAGGCTCGGACAGACTGCCCCGGCAGGTCGTTCGATGGGTTGTCCGACCGGACAACCCTGGACGGTCAGGGGGTCCCGTACGTCCGGCCCGGTAACACAGGGAAAAACGTTTATTCTTTTGTGCAGCCCCTATTTCCATTTCCAAGGTTCATTTTCGATTGGTAGCTAAAGTCAAGAAGAACAAAGTGGAATTGGAAAGTATATTTTTCGGGCAGCCCCCGGTCCAGATCAGCCCTGGAGATCTCTATGGTTGTATTGGAACACAGGTGCAGTTTCAGTGTGTGGATGGTCTCTAGGTCTGGTGGTGCACCCAATAGTAATCCTGTCATGCCGAATGATTCAATAATATAGATAAGAGGGGGAGAAAAAAAAGAAACAAATTGCATTCAAGTCGAAATTCGAAGAGAATATAAAGATCGATCGCAAAGATCTGACATCCCGGCAAAACTGTATGTGGTTTTGTGCAGGCAACTGATGGAGGACTCAAGGACAGACCTGGCAAGTATGTCACATCTCTCCCTCAAGATAGGTTTTATGATCAACTTGGTAGAGTGTGTAATAGCCAAAAAATGTGCTGCAGGGGTACACTGCACACTCAGTTCTTGCTTTTTTTCTTTGTGTGTCAGCATTTGGATCTTCAAGCGGGAAGCTGGGATCGTCCTAAATACCGGGAAGCTGGGATCGTCCTAAATACTGATGTCTGAACCATGCCGCCCTTGTAGAAATTTGACCTGTAATTGTTTTTCTCTCCCCCTTGCTCCACGATCTGCGATCTGGATGATGGAGATTGAGGTTTGCTATCCATCACAATGTGTCCTTGTGGTGAGGGGCACTCAAATGTGTCAGTTGGGGAAGTTTTCGGCATCCCTTCCCCCCCCCTCTGACAGAAGCAGGGTGTTGCATGGTCTTTTGTTTCGTGGCGGCGCGAGCAAGTTTTTCATTTGTGCGGCGGCAACATGTCAGACTTAGCGTGTTGTTTTGCTTCGCGCGGCTGGCACCCACACGCACGCAGACACGTACAGAGCATGGACGGACACACACAGACACCAGACATACTTTTCATAGCGGTGAGGGAGTGTTTTTCATTTGCGGCGTGGAAAAATGTGGAGCCAGCACACACACAAACGCAGACACATATTCACACACACAAACACGCACACACACACACACGCAGAGATAGAGATAGATAGATAGATAGATAGATAGATAGATAGATAGATAGAGAGAGAGAGAGAGAGAGAGAGA